ACACACTTGGGGCAGATGTGTTCGAACTGATGATATATTCATAAAACAAAAATGAATACAAAATAAGACTAGCTTAACAAAGCCGCTCAAAATGGAGGGCCCGGGGGACCCCGTGCAGAGCGCTCTCTGTAGGAGAGGCTCCCACACTGTTTGGTGAAGTTTGGGCTGGAGGCTCAGCTCTGTCGGGTACCCGGCGTTGGAGCCGGGTATGTTGGGTTTGGATCTCCGGAAGGCAATACCCAAACCCGGAGGCCTGGATTGGAACCCTAAGTCAGACTCCTGCGCGGCTGGGTCAAGCAAAAACGCCCCTGTTTTAACATGATTCCAACTCACCACAGCACAACACTTGGAGGTGACTTGGAAGATGCTTCCGAGTCACTGTGGGGGGACTTGGAGGGGAAGTAACACAAAATTAGATACTGAGCTCTAATAGCCCCCTCGAACGCACTGTTGAATTGTCAAAGCAGAGGCTGTTATAAGATACGCAAAGTTTCTGAGTGACACGCTTGGGGCAGATGTGTCAGAACTGATGATATATTTCATAAAACAAAAATGAATACAAAATAAGACTAGCTTAACAAAGCCACTCAAACAGAGGGTCCGGGGGACCCCGTGCGGAGCGCTCTCTGTAGGAGAGGCTTACACGTGCAACACCTCACCTGCTTGCAAGAGCAGAAAGTCGTCAAAGCTGAGGCTGTTATAAGATACACGAATTTTCTGAGTGACACACTTGGGGCAGATGTGTTGGAACTGATGATATATTTCATAAAACAAAAATGAATACAAAATAAGACTAGCTTAACAAAGCCGCTCAAAATGGAGGGCCCGGGGGACCCCGTGCAGAGCGCTCTCTGTAGGAGAGGCTTACGTGCAACACCTCACCTGCTTGCAGGAGCAGAAAGGATTTTCAGGCTAAAATAATTGAAAGCTATTTTTTTAAAAAAAAGTGAGATGTCAGGTTTTTTTTTGGTGTAGACAGAAATGGAGCCTTGATACTTGCACAAATTTTGGTGGCCTTCACTACTTTTCAACCCAAAAACTGTGGCCTCTGATGCCAAAAGGGCCCTTTTAATTTTTCTATGAGTCCAACAATAAAGGTGAAATCCTGATTTGACTTTGGCACATCCATCTTTGGTTGTGCATTGTTGAACATGGATTTTCATCAACTATGAAATTTCAACTTTGGTATGTGTACATGCTTCCTCTGGCCATCACCAACTTCAGTTGACTTGGCTACTAGCTTTGACAAGCCATTTCTTGACAAGCAGCAGTGGGCTGCTACTCTTTTGGCCCAAAAAGTGTAGTGTAGCGGCGCTTTTTTTGTGCCAAAAATTTGTAGTGTTAGCGTTTTTTGGTGGATTTTTGCTACCTTACGCTGCGCCACAGGGCCCAAAAAACTGCTAACCAGCTTGTTAGTGTAGCATAGTGGGCCCTTTTTTGGGGCCTATGCATGTAGTGTTAATGCAAGATGTGGTGGAAATCTGCTACGCTGCGCTAAAGTTTAGCAGAATTCCACTACAGTAACACTACGGTTACTGTAACTGGCCCACCGTTGTGATGAGCAACTCATGAGATGGAGGGAATTCATGCCCTCAAAAAGGTACAGGCCTTGACCGATGAAGATAGCAATTCAATCAAGGGAAAAATATAAACAAGAACCAAAGCCACTTCAAGTTGAAATGTTCCTATATCTCCTTTGTGGTCAAAATCCTACCAGAAGGTTTAGCCTTGCAAGTGGATATACACAAAGTATCCACAAACACTTATGCTCTTGTGGATCCAGGTTAATCCTGGTGAATCCTTTTTTTGGAAAAAGCAATTTTATTGAATTTAAAAAAAATAATAATCATCATTGGTTGGTGATATGACAAATCTGAATGGCCAAAATGTAAGGAAGATGCCAATAAGCTAGAAACTGGTTTGGTGGCGTGAGGAAGTGGCTGGGGGAGGAGCTGTTAAAAAATTTGGAAGCTCTACAGCCAAAGTGGACTTTCTGCT